ACGAGTGGTGAGGACCGGGCGGTGAGGATAGCGGTGAGGATAGGGGCGGGCACGGCGACACGACGGCGCGACGACCAGCACTGTGGTCGGGGGATGAGGACACGGGTGAGGATAGCGGTGAATAGAGGCGGTGAGGAGACAGCGCGATGCGAGGAGGCGACGACGACACGACGGGGTCTTCGGGAAGTGAGGGCACCCGCTCTTCGGGAAGTGAGGGCACCCAGTTGGGGCGGGGAGTGAGGGCACCCGCCGAGGCGGTGGCGTGACGACGTCGACGACGCGGCGACGATGCAACGATGGCGACGTAGCGACGACGCGGCGACGACGACGGGACGACGATGCGACGAAGGCGGCGTTGCGACGACGGCGGCAGAGACCCAAGAAACCAGGTAGATTTCCCTGCGGCGGCGGCCCCACTGGCTCCCCCAACCCATCCTATATGTCCTATATGTCCTTTTTGCCCCACTGGCTCCCCCTACATATCCTATATGTCCTAAATGTCCTATATATCTCACTAGCGTGGGTATACACGCCCAGTAGGAGCATATTGCACAGAAAGCTCATGTAGCGAGGGGCGTGGGAGGGGGTGGGATCTGCAAAGAAAGCGTTTCAGCTGCGGCCACGCAAATGTTGCCACGCAAATGTTGCCACGCAAATGTTGCCACGCAAATGTTGCCACGCAAATGTTGCAACGCAAAGTTGCTACGGAGTCCCGAATGTTGCCACGCAAATGTTGCCGCGTAAATGTCACGCAAATGTTGCTACGCAAATGTTGTCACGCAGGTGTTGCCGCAGTCTTGGACTTGGGGGCTGGCTGCAGTGGCTGCAGGCCGCAGGGCCTGGGAGGCTGCAGTGGTCGCAGAGGCTGCAATGGCTGCGGGGCAGTGGCAGGGAGGAGCGCTGAGAGGCCTCTAAGGGTTGCTGGCAGGGGTTGGGAGCGCAGTAAGAGGCCTCTAAGGTTGCTGGCAGGGGTCAGAAGCGCAGTGAGAGGCCTCTAGGGTTGCTGGCAGGGGTCGAAGCGCAGTGAGAGGCCTCTAAGGGTTGCTGGTAGGGGTTAGGCAGGGGTAGGAGCGCAGGAGGCCTCTAAGGGTTGCTGGCAGGGGTCAGAAGCGCAGTGAGAGGCCTCTAAGGGTTGCTGGCAGGGGTCAGGAGCGCAGTGAAAGGCCTCTAAGGGTTGCTGGCAGGGGTGCGCCTCGTCGTCGCATCGTCGTCGTCGTCGTCGCGTCGTCGCCCCCTCCCCAGTGTACCCGGTGAACCTGCGGGTACACCGGGTACACCTGCGCTGCGCTGGGAACACCTGCGCTGCGCTGAGGTTCCCCGTTCGAGTTTTGAATCAGCTCTAAGTTGCGACATGGTCTGTTAATTCGATATCAGGCCAGTCAAGGTGGCCGCTGCCCAGAAGTGCTCTTTTTTTTGAGTGGGCGCCTCTTTACGACGTCAGCATCATTGGGTTTCCTTTTTCCACCGTCCAAACCCCAATGCTCCAGACGTTTGTTGCACCAACTTCCCCAAATGGTTGGCGCATTTGACCAAACATCATAAGCATCTCCTTCCGGTTTTTGTGTTGCGTTGCGTTTCACTTCAAGACTGCTTATGATGCTTGCTTTCCGCCATGTCGAATGCGCCCAACCACGTGGGAGAGGTTGGTGCAGCAAACGTCTGGAGCATTAGGGTTTGGAGGCTGGGAAAGAAGATCTAATGATGCTCAAATGATGCTCGCCTTCCGCCTTGTCAAATGTGTCCAACCACGGAAGTTAGCAGCAAACGTCTGGAACATTGGGGTTGACGGGCGGAAAGATCGATGACTTGACAAATCCTTGATGGAAGCCACCAAGAAAGAAGTGGACCGCGGATGGCTACATGGCTCCCTCAAAACGGAAAAATGCCGGCCTATAGATGAGAACAAGGCCTTCAGCTCTGCATACTGCAAACGCAATAGAGGCATGTGTCAGTTTTGTTCATACCACAATGTCAAGTGCCGCCAGCATGGGGATCTGGTCATGAAGGCGTACCACCTACACAAAGCCGACAAGAATCTCCCACTCAGCACGGAGGCTGTCGAGGAGGCTTACTTGGCGGTGTAGAATCCGGTAACCAGGCCTCGAAAATCTACGACAGATCGTTTTGCCATTTGGAGCTCGTGCTTCACGCCTTCTGTCGAACATCCTTGAATTTGGGTTGTGGGCACGGTTCAATGTATTATACAGTGGTATTACGATGACTTCGTGGGCTGCGAGATTCCTGTCATGTCTAAATTGTATGACCTGTGTGCCGAGACTCTTTTTCAGATTCTTCACTGGGAGACATCGCCAGACAAGCCAGCAGTGTTGCAAAGGTGCTGGAGCTTGAGTTTGACATGGGCGAAACTAGGTTGGGTCGTTTCTACATGCGAAACACAAAGAGTCGGAGGGGAAAACTTCGACAGACGATCTCTGCGATCCTCTCTCGGGGGGCCCCAGCCCCAAAAAATTGCGGAAATTTCTGGACCCCGGCGAGCAGGGTATTTCGGGACCCAAAATTTCCGGGAAATTTGGGGCCTGGGCTAGCGCTACTCGACTGAATTCCTAACGTTTTGGGAGGGTAACAATGCATGCATTCTTGGCACAAAAGGAAGACAGTGTTTCTTTTGTGCCTAGAAAACGGTAGCCTGGAAATAAAACCCTGTCAATCGCGATTGAAGGGTGGCTTATTCCCATGTGAACATGTAAGCAAACGATCATGCTTGCAAAGATTTGAGTGATTGCGAAATGGCATCCCCCTTCACAACGAATCTGCAGGAAAGCAGCTGACATGATCTAAGAAGCAAGACGCACATTTCTTTTTGCCAGGTTCACGCCGAGTGCATGGGGAGAGTCCGTGTTTCGAAGCAAAGTTCGGGAGATGTCCCACTGCGCAAGTGCACGCCAACGGTGAGCACTTCGGAACATCCTGATGCACGCAACGTCACGTGTTGCACGCTCCCCAAGGTTCCAACGCTGACCTTGCAATGCTCAGAACATCAACTTCGAACCTTCTTCCCATGGTATCACGCACGACCCCCCTCGAGGGTTCGTCTACAATGTTGGATGCAGTGTTGACTCATACCACGAGTTGCAGCGTTCATCCAACAACCCAAGCGCGACGTTCACCACGGCCCAACTTCATTATCCGAAGTGCCTTTGATGAAGCGTGCTTGAGTGCCCGTGTTGTCGGAGAAAATGACCAGGTTGCCGTGCAGCAGACCTGCCCAGAGTCTAACGGCAGTACTGCCAGACACTCGCGTTCAAAGATCGGGTTGGCACTCTTCGGACCAATCAGATCCCTCACTTCCTGCGAGGTCGCGCTTGGGTTGTTGGATGAACGAACCCTCGAGGGGGGTCGTGCGTGATACCATGGGAAGAAGGTTCGAAGTTGATGTTCTGAGCATTGCAAGGTCAGCGTTGGAACCTTGGGGAGCGTGCAACACGTGACGTTGCGTGCATCAGGATGTTCCGAAGTGCTCACCGTTGGCGTGCACTTGCGCAGTGGGACATCTCCCGAACTTTGCTTCGAAACACGGACTCTCCCCATGCACTCGGCGTGAACCTGGCAAAAGGAAATGTGCGTCTTGCTTCTTAGATCATGTCAGCTGCTTTCCTGCAGATTCGTTGTGAAGGGGGATGCCATTTCGCAATCACTCAAATCTTTGCAAGCATGATCGTTTGCTTACATGTTCTTGTCTTGCATTTTCACTGGGAAAACGGGACATGGGAATAAGGTGGGATGGCTTTGGGGTGGTTTTGACCATGCTTTGACGGGGCTGGGATGGGTTTGACCATGTTTTGAAGGCGCTGAGGGTAGCTTTCGGGTGGGTTTGGGGTGGGCTTGGGCGGGTTTGACCATGCTATGAAGGGGCTGGGCTGGGTTTGACCTCTTTTGAAAGGGTTTGATGGGGGCTTGACTGTGTTTTGAAGAGGCTGGGAAGGGGGCTTGATTTCCACAGCAACCGAGTCGTTCCTGTATTGTATTCGGAAGTCCTTGTCGCTTGCCTCGGCTTAACCTGCTTGAGAACATAGCGAAGGTCACTTTCCTGCGGCTTGATGGAGGCCCTCCACCCCCGTTGCTTTCGAGATTCATTGCCACTTTCGTCTTTAAACGCTGAATTACGCTGAATCCCCGTCTGAGCTATAGTCCGAAACCATCAGCTCTTCGTCGTTGTCAACATCCTCCCTCAAAATTACCATCGCCCCGCGAGTCACAACAATAATGACCACTGCAATGGCAACAATGCTTACCGTAGACGTGATCGTCAAGGTACAAACTCCTGTATATTCATGAGAACCGCGAAGATGAGAACGATGAGATTTAGAAGAGTCGTAGTATGTTGTATTCTTCTTAATGAACTTGCTATAGCTTCTCGTTTGTCAGCGGAAGTGTTTCAATCGTTAGCCGTTAGCAAGGGCAGTAGTGATACTTCAAGTACCGATATTGGAAAGACGGGACCGAAGGCACTGTTATGTTGATGGAGGAAAAGCTTGCACCAGTTAGGAACCCAAAAATATTGCAATTCCTAGCGTATAAAACGTGCATATGGAACACTCGCCACTGGACTCGCATCTGCGTGCCGCCAAATCGTAGCTTGCAGGCTGGTGAGGTTTCAATAGGATCTCAGGATCGATTCAGAAACAAGCAGTGGGCAAGGTCACGATTTGTCATGTAATGGCGGGGACCGGTGATACGTGCGTCAGAGTCACAGGATATTCAGTCAGGGCAGTGGCGCAGCTCAAAATAGCAGTCGTTTGGATGTTAGCATGTTTGGCTGCATGTAGTCATTGAAATGAGTACACGCTATTTGGGTTTATTCCTTCCTTCTTGATGACATGCCTTGTGGCTGCCACGAAAGAGGTCCCGTTTAGCTTGCGTCTCTCTATCTAATCTGCCATTGCTGCTTCTTGATCTGCTGCATTCTTTTGTTGCGGTCGTGGCAAAACAAAATCTCCCGGTTCAGGGCCAGCGGTGAGTGTGGTAGTTGCTGCACAGCCATGCCGCAAAAGGAAAGGGTGTCTGTGGTCTGGTTCAAGGCGACGGACCTCCGCACTCACGACCACGAGCCCTTGAGCCTTGCGCACGCGGCGGGGCTCCCCGTACTGCATCTCTACGTGCTGGACCCCCGGTGGTTCAAGCCAACGAAGCTGGCCGGCTTTCCCCGCACCGGTCCGCGTCGTGCACGTTTCCAGCTGGAGGCCTTGGCGGATCTGAGCCGGCGACTTGAGGCTGCAGGGCACAAGCTGTGTGTTCGGCGCGGACTCTCCACAGTCCGCGCCTTCGAGGAACTCTGTGAGGACTTCGATGTGGCAGCATGCTATGCCAGCAGGGAGATTTGCGCGGAAGAGCTGAGGCTGGAGCAGAAGGTGCAAGAGGTCTTGAAGGCAAAGGGTGCAAGACTAGAGCTCTGCTGGACTTACGAGTTGCACCACTATGAGGACCTGCCCGCAGAGGTCAGGAAGAAGGGCGCCTCGGGTTTCTCTGGCTACCGCCGCTGCTTCTCCGAACGATGCAAGGTCCGGGATCCCCTGCCTCGCGTCGACCTGAAACTGGGTTGCTGCTAAGGCACGAAGTTTAGGGTTTAGGGTTTAGGGGTTACGGCTGCTGTTAAGGGGGGAGGATATATAGTAATCAACATGGTTCCAGAAGCCCAGGAAGTCGGCTCCAGGCGTCCACTGGCCGCGTGTCGAGGGGCTGCCCTCCGACGTCCGCGACCTCGGCTTGTCACAGGCGCCGGAATCCGATGACCGAGCGGAAGTCGCTTGGGAGGGGGGCGAAACAGCCGCATTGGCCAGGCTCGAGGAGTACTTTTTTGCCACCAACGCCGTCGCTCTGCAGTTTGTGGGCGCAACCAACTTCCCGCACGATGGGCATAGCAGCACGGCAGAAGGATCGCAGTCGAAACTGTCTCCTTGGCTCGCCCATGGCTGCCTGTCCGTCAGGTACCTCTATGCAGAGCTGAAGCGCTACGAGCGGGAGCGCCGGCACACGGACTCCACCGCCCGCATGGTGCACGAGCTCTACTTCCGCGACTTCGTGCGCTTCAGCGCGCTGCAGAAAGGCAGCAAGATCTTCAAGCTGGAGGGCATCTACGGCCGCCACCCTCCGGGTGGCTGGCTCCAAGAGGATGGTTTCTTGATGCCCTGGTGCCATGGGCAGACGGGCTTTCCCTTCCTGGATGCCTCCATGCGTGAGCTCAAGGCCACAGGCTCCTGCTGCCACGCAGGGCGAGACTGGGTTGTGCTTTGGGATAATTCGTAATTTCCCTTTTTTTGTATAAGGGATCCTAATCATAAATGGTTTTCACAGGTTTTCAAGCACAACCCAGGAGAGGTTGCCGCATGGTTTCTGGTGTGTGACCTGGGCATTGACTGGCGGCTGGGAGCGGAATGGTTCGAGTCGACCTTGATCGACTACGAGCCGGCGGCCAACTGGTTTAACTGGTCGTTCACCTGTGTGCCCCGTGCCGCTGGATCAGGTTTAACCATGGTGGTTTAGGGTTTAGGGTTTAGGGTTTACGGTTTCGGGGTTTAGGGTTTAGGGTTTAGGGTTATATATTTAACCATGCTTTTGCGCCGTTGAAGGTTTATGTGTCATAACATCCCCAACGTTTGCTTGCTACCAACAAGCTTGTATCTCGAATCATACGGTTGCAGGCGTCACCCTAATCCTTAAGCCCTAATCGCTGAGCCTTCGTCTAGATTCTCCCTAAGCCCTCAGCCCTCAACTGTCTAGATACACCCGAAACGTTAAACCCTAAACCAAGCCCTAAGCCCTAAGCCCTAAGCCCTAAGCCCTAAGCCCTAAGCCCTAAACCCTAAACCCTAAACCCTAAACCCGAAACCCTAAACCCTAAACCCTAAACCCTAAACCCGAAACCCTAAACCCTAAACCCTAAACCCGTGAACTGCACAGGCCACGGGCGGCAACAGCATCCAGGAGGAGGCCAAGCCCTTGAGGCCGCCCCGCACGCGGCTGCAGACGCTTGAGGTCGGGAGGGTTTAGGGTTTAGGGTTTAGGGTTTAGGGTTTAGGGTTTAGGGTTTAGGGTTTAGCGTTTAAGGTTTAGGGTTTAGGGTCCATAAGGGAAAATATCCCCCGTCGATGGTCCACATGTAAAGTGTTCCCATATTCCCCACTAACCACCAGGAAGCTAAGGAAGTTGGGTCAGGCTTTAGTTCAGGGATTGAGGTTTGGGTTTCAGGGTCCGGGGTTGGGGCTGATAGTAGGGTGTATCGTTTTCAGAACGACTGTTTATATTAGCTTTAGAGATCCTCTTCCCAGTTGCATGTGCTGTCAAAATGGCTTGTGCGTATTCCTTTCCGCCATCAGCATGAAGACAAGGAGAACCGAAGCCTGGCAGAAGGCCAGGCGCGTGAAAAGACCTGTTTGGGAATGCGCATCGTTGAGGAGGGATGATGAAAGAAGGACGGCGCGACATGAACGGATGAAGCAGAAAGAAGACAGGCAAGACCAGTCCCCAAATGGAAGGTATTAGCAGAAAGGACAAGAATGGAACATGGTAGAAGACGTGACAGGCCAACACAAAGACATGAACTAAGAAGAAGGCCGATGTATACAATCAAGTGAAGAAGAGATGCCGGCACATGGAAGCGAATGGGCCAACCTGACAATTGAACTGAACTGTGACGCATCTGACAAAAGCCTCCTCAGACAAGGCACCCCACTGTCAGGCTGCCAGATGGAATCACCTCAAATGAGCCACACACCCTTAACCCAAAAATCTTATCATAGAACTTAAAGCAACTAACTGATTGAAAACTATTGACCCCAAAGTGTGTAGAACCCTGGAAGAACCTTGGCATGAAACAGAGAAACGGCCGCGGGGCGCATGCGGTTCAACTAGCCGAAACATGCGAGAGCACGAAGCCGCACGTGTGTCGCCATTTGCTTCACTTTGCAGGAATCGCTTCCACGCATGGAGAATGGTTTGCTTTGGAAAAGTGGAGAGGCTTGTTAAGAGGTTCAGCCCTGCCCTGAAAGGCCATCTACTGGGCAGCGCAGCAAGACCCGGACGGAGAGTACATCAAGCGCCGCTCACTTGTAGTTGGTAAGGAACAGAGGAATGCATACCTAGAGTAATTCTTGTAGAGCAGTCATCCCTGAACCCCCATTCCTTCATTCCCTGAACTCTCATGGCTAGACCTTCAATCCAGCCATGATTGCAGTTTTAGCCCAATTACGATTCACTTGGGGGATTTCGGGGGGTTCATAATTGAAGTATAACTACAGTTAGACTTGGGCTACAACTACCCTGAACCTGCAAGTAAAGCCCAAACGTTGAATGCTTACGCCCTAAACCTTAAACCCCTAAACCCCTAAACCCCTAACCCCAAAACCCCAAAACCCCAAAACCCTAAAACCCTAAAACCCTAAAACCCTAAAACCCTAAAACCCTAAAACCCTAAAACCCTAAAACCCTAAAACCCTAAAACCCTAAAACCCTAAACCCCTACAACCCTAAAACCCTAAAACCCTAAAACCCTAAAACCCTAAAACCCTAAAACCCTAAAACCCTAAAACCCTAAAACCCTAAAACCCTAAAACCCTAAAACCCTAAAACCCTAAAACCCTAAAACCCTAAAACCCTAAAACCCAAAAACCCTGAAACCCTAAAACCCTAAAACCCTAAAACCCTAAAACCCTAAAACCCTAAAACCCTAAAACCCTGAACCCTGAACCCTGAACCCTAAACTCTAAACCCTAACACCCTAAACCCTAACACCCTACACCCTACACCCTAACACCCAACACCCAACACCCTAAACCCTAAACCCTAAACCCTAAACCCTAAACCCTAAACCCTAAACCCTAAACCCTAAACCCTAAACCCTAAACCCTAAACCCCAAGCCTTGAATTCCTACGCACCCCGGCAAGGCTGGGTCCCCGAGCTCCGCGGCCTGGCCGGAGACCTGGCTCGGGAGCCTTGGAGGGCCACCAGCGAAGAGCCCCAGGTCGGGGAGTTTGCCAAGGGTTTAGGGTTTAGGGTTTAGGGTTTAGGGTTTAGGGTGTAGGGTGTAGGGTTTAGGCCAAACACTATGGCACTTGGAGGTTCATGGGTACTTCTACCCCATGTCTAACCGTACTTATAACCCCCCTAAGTCCCTTAAGAAGGTTATAAATGCGGTTGCAAGTACCCATGAACCTCCAAGTATGGCAGGGGCTATAGAGACCATTGTTTAGAGCTTTCAAAGGGAGTGCGGAGTCTTGGGTTGAGAAAGCAGATCGGTGATCTCCAGACATCCTGTTGTCCCAAAGCCCTCAAGGCACACCCCACGAGTTGTTGGAGAGTGCTTGGAGGTTCATAGGTACTTATATAACCCCGGACCCCAGTTATAACTGTACTTATAACCTACTTAGGGGACTTAGGGGGGTTATAAGTACAGTTATGATTGGGGTTTCAAGTGCCCATGAACCAAGTGCCAGGTGGCGCAACGTGTGGGGACAGCTCCGGAGGAGTGGGCCCCAGCAGTCGCCCGGGAGCGCGAGCGCATCGGCTGGGCGCGACGCACGTTTCCAGCGGGGGGCTCCCAGGTGGGGAGTTCCGAAAATTAGGGGTCTTCATTCGGGGGCCCATATGGGGGGGATTACATTCTATCATGAAATTGGGGGTATATTGGGGGACCTTGATTTTTGAAAGCTACCAGGTGGGAGATTTGAAAACCTTGGGGTTAGATTTTCAGGACCGGAGTTCAGGGTTTTAAATTTGGGGTGTTCGGGTTGGGGATTGCAGCTGCTGGCTCTGGGATCCGATGAAGATTTGAGAGGTTAAACCTGTTGGGGTCGGTTTTCTTGGAGGTCCCTTGGTACCGATCAGAGGACCTCAGCATGCTGGGGTACGCTATCGGACCCTCACTTGAGGAGCTTCCTGGTGAGTGCACCTAAACATCCAGGGCCGCTTCAGGTAGGCTCTTAGGGTTGTCTTCCGTTTCTCATTAGGGTTTGGGGTTTGGGGTTGAGGGTTTAGTGTCCGATACTTGAACCTGTTCTTAAACATGCACAGGTGGCTGTCTGGTGGGGCTGTGTGCGGGCTAGAGGCACAGCCGCGAATGCGAGTGCTTCGGCGCCGGCGGAGCGGAGGCTCGATCCGGATGATGGCAAGGAGTACTCGCTCGAGGAGCTGAAGACAAAGTACAGAGGCCAGTACAAGCTGGAGGAGGTCCGCTTGTACTGGAAGGACACCTGTGAACCGCTTGAGGTTCGAACTGACCCTGAGGATGGCAAAGCCTACACACTGGCTGAGCTGCATGCCAGGTATCGGAAGCAGTATACTCGGCAAGAGGTCGCGGAATACTTCAAGTCGTCCTGCGTCCGTGTGAAGGAGCAGGGTGGTTCAGCTGCTCCTCGTGCAAAGGCAACGGGATGGCCCGAGGGGTACCCATTGCCATTGCTCCCACCAGCATCCTTCTTCAGCATCGAGGAGATCGCCGAGCATTCCCGGCGCGGGCAGGCGCGGAAAGCGGCGAAAGCTGCACGGATCGAGCTTGACATGGGCGGTGGCGTCTCAGGTAGGGACGCGGGTCCCTACCCTAAGAAAGAAAGAGAGATGCCAAAGTCACAGGCTCCCCGACGATGGGCCAAGACGGCGAGGGACACGTGACAGGCCAAGGCTTGGCAAGGATGCCTCTGCTGAGTAACAATAGTAGTAATTTAGTAATCGTAGTTGTAAGCCACAAGTATTAGTAGAAATAGCAATAAGAGCAATAGTCGCAATAATAGCAATAATAGCAAGAATAGCAAGAATAGCAAGAAAAGCAATACTAGTAATAATAGTAAAAATAGTAACAATAGTAATCGTAGTCATAAGAGTAATAGTAGTAATAACAGTAATAATAGTAACAATAGTAGCTCTTGTAATCATATAGTAATACTGGCAATAATAGTAATACTAGTATAAATATAGTAATAATAGTTGTAATGCATCACTAGTCCATTTTCCACCAGCTCCGCTACCACGCTGACGCTGGGTTTTCAGCATGCTTCCGGCCTTTGCTGGAATGGCATGCTCTGAAAGGCGTGAAATGTCACAGCGACAAACTCAGCTACCTGGTGGCTTGTTGTGACGTCGGAGCTGTTTAGGGTTTAGGGTTTAGGGCTTAGGGTTTCGGGTTTCGGGTTTGATCATCCTACCCAGCACTTGGCACCATCCCGTGCGAGAGAACTGCCGTGCCCATGAGTCCACGGAAGCCATGTGTATACTGTAGGTTTAGAAAGTGACACAAGTTTTTTACAGGAGTTATAATCTTACTATCTTTACCAACTAGAACAAAAATCTTTAATTGGCTCTTTACATGTCTTGGAAATCCACCACTATTGCACCTTAGAATTAGTTCTGTCTTCTTCTCACATCTCTTTTTATGAATGTTTACTATAGGTGGTTCTACAGGAATAACTCTTGGAAATGCTGCAGTAGATCTAGGATTACATGATACATATGATGTTGTAGCACATTTTCATTCTGTTCTTTCTTTAGGAGCTATAATTTCTCCGACGGCCGGTTTCCACAATGAAAATGCAAATCAAGCAGCGTGGAACTCACCTTTTCGGAGTTTGTGCGGCAAGTTACCGGACATGTTTCTATTCTTCAAAACCAAGTCAAGGCCGAAGCATTCAGACGTTGTCGCACGGACGCAAAACGCCGCAAATCACGTGGAACTCCCACAGGCCGTTTAATTGGATCATGTTGACGTCCAGTGGCAGCGGACGTGAACTGCTGTAGGGCATGTCTTTGGAATGTCGAGTACGCACAACATGATGTCAAATTGCAGTGGCACGTGGCGCATGCGAAATACCTGAAATTTCGAGGAACTCCATGTTACGTAGTACTCATGCGCCCTGAAAGTCGTCGTTGTGGATTTGTCCAAGGCTGTAGGGGGTCCGCAAAGGTTGCTTCTCAAGGTGACTTTATACAACACTACTAATTGCTTAAGAACCCAGAAAGATAGAAAATGTTCTTCCTTATTAAGGTTAATCATGTCCACTTTGTCAGGGCTCATGTGGGGCTCATGCGGGGCTCTTGCGCATGCTGGACTGTTGTAGGACTCAGTGACGGGGGACTCATGTAGCAGTTTCCAAAATTAGGGGCACCTTATTGGGGTCCTGATTCACAGGGAATCCCATTATTTGGGGGTCTATATTAAAGCTCCACTAGTTTCGCAAACTCCCATGTTGCCGGTAGACAAGCATCCTAGACTTTTTGGATTGGCACGCTTCCATGTTGTAACCTGCCTCCGTGTCCATGCGCTCCCCGCGCCGTTCTAGTTCAAGCGGGGCCCTAATGAGAGACTCCAAGACCCTTGAATTAAGCAATAGACCTTAAATCATATCAGGGTTCCTACTGTAGCATAATTTTACGGGATATCCCTTAAGCAATAGACCTGGACCTTAAATCATAGTAGGGTTCCTACTTTTAGTATAATTTTTACGGGATATCCCTTAAAGTAAGGGGGTGTTGGAGTCTCTGGGATTTGTGGTCGCCATGGTGGCGCTCTCCCTCGCCCTGCTCGCCTTAAGCGTGGCTTACTTGGCGAGCGGGACGTGCCCAGCGCAATGCACCGCCACGTCCAACAACGCAGCCTGGCCTTGCCGCTATATCCCCCTTGGGAGTTCTTTTTTTATTTATATATGTTGTTTAAAAAATATTTTTGTTTATATAAAACCCAAGAGTATTCTAAACATATCGTTTTTATTAAGGTTCTAAGGGGAGTAGAGGTCGATATCACCAGAATGGCTGCCAAGTGGCAGTGACACCGAACCCAGACCGGGCTGGTGCGTCCGACATCAACGTGGCAGTCATCAGCCCCTACAGCGGTGGGCTGGGAGAGCTAATGACCATGGTGGAACCTGCCATCGCGGCGGCAGTGCAAGATGTGGAGAGCAGCGGCTTTCTACCTGGGTTTCGGCTGAACGCGTTTCTGGGAGACTCCAAATGCTCTGTGCCAAGTGCCACGCAGGCAACCATCGAGGCCTGCTCGACCGGCCCCACCAAGCACGCCCTTCTGGCGGACTCCTGCAGTGCAGCATGTGAAGCTGTCAATGATGCTGCGCAGTTCTTCAATGTCCTGCAGGCAGCCAAAGAACCCAAGTAAAAAAACCACCACCGTTGTTTTAGGACTGAAATGCATAGAGTCGGTCTAGGAGCCTAATTTGGCCAGTTCATGCAAGAGTCGCGCCAGGTTTCTCCCGGATGCATCTCAAACAGCCTCAGTGACTCTGCTCGTTATCCATTCTTCACACGCATGGCACCTTCATACCGCTTCAATGTTCAGTCGCTCTACGAGTGCCTCGGCAGTGAGGCCTAGCGTCATAACCCTAAAACCCCACAACCCTGAAACCCTGACTCCCCCCCCCCCCCCGCCGCCCTTTCACTTCCAGCTCAGTCTGGGCAGTCTTGTGGATTGTGAGGCGCTTGCACCCCAAGCCCACCAGCAGAAGAAGTTAGGGTTTAGGGTTTAGGGTTTAGGTTTTAGGGTTTAGGGTGTAGGGTTTAGGGCTTACGGCTTAGGGTTTAGGGTTTAGGGCTTAGGGTTTGTGGTTTAGGGTTTAGTAAGACTAAAGAAGCAAGAGAGACACGGGAGGTTGCAATCCTAGATGACACTGAGAAGCTATGCGAATCTTCCGCCCTGGGACCCATCACGGCGAACGTGTTGTTAGCTTAGGTTCACGAAGCTTATGGGCTTTCAAAGAATCGGGGTCGTCGTGGGCTATCGGAGCATCAATACCCTGGGTGCCGACTACCTCGTCAGTCTTATGAGGGATGACGTAGCTGCAGGGCGCTACAATTGGACCATCTTGTTCACAGTGCAGATCACCAGCGCGGGCAACATCGCCGATGCCCAGGGTGCTGCCGAGGAGATCGAGCGCAAGGACTCGCGCATCAACATCCTGGCCTTGTACCAGACCGAGGGGGCGATGTTCTTGTGCCAGGCCTACCAGCGCAACCTGCTTTCCCCAGCCTACAACTTCATGGCCGCCTCAGGATGGTGGAACCCGTCCTACATCGTGGAAAGGGCAGGTGCAGGCCTCAGAAGAAAGCAGGATTGTGTTGATTTCATCGTGCGAATGTTCTTGATTGTGCGAGTTTTCTCTTGATTGTGCGAATGACTCGTTTCCGTGAAGAACGCATGGCCTCAGTAGATTTTCTACATAGGCTTGTGGGCATGCAGCAAAAGAAGGCTACATCGGAAACTGCTAGCGACGCCGCAAGAGAAGACCCTTTGCTTGCAACTTCCGAGACTAGAATGAGAAAGCTCTGAGCTGCAATCCAGGTGCAAGCGACTGCCCCTGCTCGGTCGCCGAGCTGCACCGTGCATCGTACGGGCTCATTGCAGCAGACAAAGGGCCCATGCTGAGCACTGAAGATGTCCACGGCCTATCCGGGCGCAGCTTTTCCGACATCTACGGCAACTACACGGAGGAGTGCTTGAGCTTTGGGAACGGTACGGGAATCTGCAATCATCAGTGGGCCGGGTATTTTTACGATGGCCTCTGGCTGATTGCTAGCGTCCTTCATACCTACCTGGTGGGCGGGAACAGGCAGGAGACAGCCATGAGAAAGAAAGCTGAAAAGGAAAGCTGACAAATGTAAGAGACCCTACGCAAATCGTGGATAGAGAACCTGCTTCCCACAGTAAGTCCCGGCCATGCAGCGTTTCAGCCGGGCGCTCCGCTTGTTAGGTCGATCGCCGACTTGGCTACGCCCGCTTCCCGGCAGGCTCTGGAAGATCTTTCTCATCAGGTGGATTTCGCGGGCATCACCGGGCGTGTGCGCCTTGGTAGCCCTGTGAGTACACTCTACCCTCTTTTTTGACCCTGGGTTCCCTCATAAAGAAACCAACTCAAACAAGGAACCCTAAACCCTAAACCCTAAACCCAAAATCCTAAACCCTAAACCCTAAAAACCCTAAACTGTTCTGGTTACTGGGCTGCTCAGGCGCCAGTTCAGCACCCCGGATCAGGCAGGAGATCGAAATGGGGTCATCCTATTGAGGCAGGCGGGCGGCCCCCCTGAAAGCACTTTCAACCACATGGCCTTCCGCACGGAGACAGGCATCATCTTTCAAACAGATGTGGTGTCTGGGTTGATTTGGAACTATATTTCGGTATATATGGGGCCCAACTCCTACATCACCCAGCATAAACCACCGAAACGAAACCCCTAAACCCCCTCGATCCCTAAACCCTCAACCCTAAACTCCTCAACCCCTAAACCCTAAACCCTAAACTCTCAACCCTCAACCCTAAACTCCTCAACCCCTAAACCCTAAACCCTCGACCCTAAACCCCTCAACCCCTCAACCCCTCAACCCCTCAACCCCTCAACCCCTCAACTCCTCAACCCCTCAACCCTCAACCCTCAACCCTAAACCCTAAACCCTAAACCCTACTCCCAGGTTTGGAGTCCCGACCCCGGGCACCGCATCCCCTGCGCTGGCACCTGCGACTTGGCATCCGGGTTTCGGCCGGCAGATCGCAGCACCTCAGCTGTTGACTCTGCAAGTAGGTGTTTAGGGTTTAGGGTTTAGGGTTTAGGGTTTAGGGCTACGACTTGCAATCTTTTTGAGCTTCCGAAATCCCTAATCGAACCCGACGGCAGCCCGTACAACTTCACCCCAGGCACCGGCTGTCCAGCTGGCAAGATTTGGCTCAACGAACAGGGCTGCATCGAGTGTCTCGAGGGGGAGCGTCTTGGATCTTCAGTTGGATTGTCACGCTAAAAGGCAAGCGCAAATCGCCCAAAATCCCTGGATCTAGGGTCTTAGTTTCTCATACAATGGTTTCTTATGCGGTGGTTTTACTATAGTTGGCCTACATAGCGCGAAAGAAAGACCAGGGAAGGACCAGAGAAGTTGAATTGCAAACGCTGCGTGTCGAACCGCCTCGTTGTGTCAGGGGTTCAGGGTTCAGAGTTCAGGGCTTAGGGAAGTTTAGGGTTTAGGGTTTGGGGTTTAGGGTTTAGGGTTTAGTGCCCAAGAAGCAGCCAACAAAGAGGTTTGCCTCGAGTGGGATGGCCCAGTGCGAGCCGTGCGGCCCCGGCTCTTTCGCCAGCACGCCGGGGTCGCCAAGCTGCCAGTGACTGGGCAAAAGCCCTAAACCCTAAACCCTAAACCCTGAACCCTAAACCCTGAACCCTAAACCCTCAACCCTAAACCCTCAACCCTGAACCCTAAACCCTAAACCCTAAATCCTAAACCCAAAACCCTAAACCCTAAACAACAAACCTCACCATGGGTCCTTTAACCCCGAGCCCTAAACCATAAGTCCTAAACCCTAAGCCCTAAGCCCCAGGTCTTACATTCTAAACCCTAAGCCCTAAGCCCCAAACCCTAAGACTTTACGTCCTACACCTTAACCCTAAATCCTAAACCCTAAACCCTAAACCCTAAACCCTAAACCCTAAACCCTAAATCCTAAACCCCAAGGCTTCAGGAGCTTCAGGGTTGACCCGCGCGCCAGATCTCGGCTTTCAGGTTCGAGGAAAGCGCGGGTGTCTAGGTTCGGTTGGAGCTGCGTAACTGTGGGCTTAGGGTTTGTGGCTTTGGGCTTCGGGCCCTAAACCCTAAACCCTAAACCCTAAACCCTAAACCCTAAACCCTAAACCCTAAACCCTAAACCCTAAACCCCAAACCCCAAACCCTAAACCCTAAACCCGAAACCCTAAACCCTAAACCCTGGGTTGAGGATGAAGGGTTTGTCCTGCAGGCTCTGCTCGCCTGGGCACTACTCCTCGGCCGAAGGGGCCACCTCGTGTCTGGAGTGTGCAGCAGGCGCCTTGCCTAAACCCTAAACCCTGAACCCTAAACCCTAAACCCCAAACCCCAAACCCTAAACCCTAAACCCCAAACCCTGGACCCTGCACCCTCCTGGGTTGCTTGGGTACGATTGCTCTGTGCTCCCTTCTTGGGTGCGCTAAATACTCGGGGGGCCGCTTTATAGTAAGGACCATATAGAAGTGACCCTAAACCCTAAACCTTAAACCCTAAACCCTAAACCCTAAACCCCAAACCCCAAACCATAAACCCTAAACCCTCCCTGAACCCTAAACCCTAAACCCTAAACCCTAAACCCTTAACCCTAAACCCTAAACCCTAAACCCTACACCCTAAACCCTAAACCCCTTTCGGAGTTGTGTTTTGGTTTTGAAATTTCACTGAACCTGTTGGTTCTGGTTCTGAGGCCTGCGCATCCCGAAACCCTAAACCCGAAACCCTAAACGGCCATGTTCCCCGACATGCCACAGACTAGCTGGTTTTGGCGGACCAGCCGCGCCTGTGTCCGGTTCATTTTCTATTGTTGAAGACCGAGGATTCTTCAGCTCAACCCACTTCGTTTTCTATCTTCATCCACACAAGGTTTAGGGTTTAATTAGGGTGAAGGGTTTGGGTTCCCTAAGGGAAAGCAGCTGCTCAACCTAAGCTCCTGAACCCTGTGGCCAGGAAGGGCTAAATCGTCTTGGAGGTTGGTACAAAAAGATGTTTGCAACGCAATAGGGTCGAGGTCACACGCAGAAGTCGCACAAGGGACACACATGCTGTGTTCGACAGGCAACACGCCAGCACCTACTGCATCGGATCTTGTAGATGTTCCGTAGTTTCCATCGCGACCTCGAAAGAATACGGCAACTGCTTCAACTTAAGGTTCATCCTCATTACAAAGGGTTTAGGGTGTGTTTAGGGTTTAGGGTTTAGGCAATCCTCCCAAGAGCAGGCATGCGCAGGTGCGAGTAAGCTTTCTCTGGGCAAGGTAAGATGAGACCCGCCCTTAACCCGAGTTTCCCAGGCTCTGAGCCTCCACATGTCGTCCATGCATGTAGCTCAAGAGGGTTTAGGGTTTAGGGTTTAGGGTTTAGGGTTACTTCGGCTGGGTAGAAACCCTAAAGCCCCAAAGCCCGAAGTGTGGGTAGGCCGCGCAGTGCTCTTGAGATTCGCGGGTAGGTTTTGCTAAGTAAGTCTCAGAAGTAGGGCAACGCCCTAAACCTCAAGTCCTCAGCTCTAAGCCCAAGACTCCCTAAACTCCCTAAACTCCCCAAACTCCCCAAACTCCATAAACTCCCGAACCGCCCTGAACTCCCCAAACTCCCTAAACCCTAAACCCTAAACCCTAAACCCTAAACCCTAAACCCTAAACCCTAAACCCTAAACCCTAAACCCTAAGCCCTAAACCCTAAACCCTAAACCCTAAACCCTAAACCCTAAACCCTAAACCCTAAATCCCGACCTCCGGTCCCCTCAAGGCCACTCCCGAGACTCCCCCGGCGGGACCGTCTGCACGAAGTGCGCGCGTGGGTTCTACGCGGAGCAACCGGGCTCCTGGGTTGCGCCATTTTTAGGGTTTCGGGGTTTAGGGTTTAGGGTTTAGGGTTTAGGGTTTAGGGTTTAGGGGTTTAGGGTTTAGGGGGTTAGGGTTTCGGGAGTTTAGGGGGTGTAGGGGCACCTTATAGGGTTTTGAATTTTAGAGGGTGGAGGGGTTTAGGGTTTAGAGCTTAGATGCTGAGGGTTTAGGGTTGCGCCATTTAGGGTTTAGGGTTTAGGGTTTGGGGTTTAGGGTTTAGAGTTTAGGGGAGTTTAGGGGTTTAGAGTTTAGGGCCTTTAGGGCGTTTAGGACGTTTTGGCTGTTCCAAGGTCAAGCCTATCAAAGGGGATGCCTAATCCTAAAACCTCCTCAGATGCAAAGCCTAGACCGTCAACCCTGAACCCTAAATCCTCAACCCTAAACCCCCAACCCTATGAACCCTCAAACCCCTTAAGCCCTCAAGCCCTCGATGAGCCCTAAAGCACAAAAACCCTCAAATCCTGAACCCTGCAAACCCTGCAAACCCATCTTGGCTAAACACTAAACCCTGAACCCCAAGTAAACCCCAGACCCTAGACCCTAGACCCTAAACCCTAAACCCTAAACCCGAAAGCCTAAACCCTAAACCCGAAACCCTACTAAACCGTAAACCCTGCGTCCAAAGAGGCCAAGCGGCTTGTACACCCTGCCCGCCAGGGCTGAGCACCAACTTTGAGGCGAGCACGTGTATTTATTTATATTTTTTAAACTTTATTTACTCATTTGTGTATTTATGCATTTTTTATTTGCTACATTACTTATTTACTTATTAATTCATTCATCATTCATTTATTGACTTTTATTTATTTATTCCTTTATTTACTTATATTATTTTCTTGATGTACTTACATATATATATATATTTTTTTTTTTTATTGATTTCTTGTGTCGAATTAGATGTGTTTTTTGGCAGTTGTCATGATTATGTATTGTCTCTATGTTTTCTTGACATGTTTCATGTATGTACATATGTATATATACATGCATAAGTGTTTGTGTGTGTGTGTTTGTATACATGTATATATGGTATAGATGTATGTTCTTTCGATTATCGTTGTTCAAATTTTGTTTGGGAGGGGGACTTGGGGGTATGGGGGTTTAGGGCTTAAGGGGTTTAAGTGTGCCTCGGGTTGAGGGTTTAGGGTCTAGGAGCCTAGGGTTTTAGGGTTTAGGGTTTAGGGTTTAGGGATACCCGTGCCGAAAACACCGGCATTTACATCGTTTTTGCTCCTCTACACAACACCAGGATGTTTGACGTTTCTGTAACAAGGCGCGCTGTCACGAGGCTTATGCGAGCGGTGTGTCCTCATGACGCTCGAACCACTAACAGCTGCCAGCAGAAGCAACATAAAGAAAACAACAAATTAGAAAAAAAACACGCACGAAACTTTCCCCTTCTGTGCATGTCGCAAAAAAAACGTGGTTTTATGTGCTGGTTTGCCGCCCATTGCGGCCCTTCACTAGAACGCGCGATATGAAAGGAGTCATGTGTACTTCTGTGTCAAATAGTTCAGCTACTTGTAGTTCTACAAGATAAAAGTTCAAAAACCACCGGTTTTCACAGTTTTGTCTTGCTGCGGGACATGTTCCCAGATAATGTACATACAGGCTGTGCTTGAACAGCTCAAGCCCAGGCGAAAACAGCGACCGCACCTCCAAGTCAGCAGGTTTTTTCACGAGCCTGTGACCTTGTTAGGAGGGGTTAGGGGGTTTTGGGGTTTGCATGATGGCACATGTTGGGAGTCGGAGATTTCCATTGTGAAGAGTGTGCACAAGGCATGCGGCTCCTTCCGTATACTGGTGGGTGTGTATACGGGGTGTCCCTTTCTGGGACAAAAACGCCTACTTCATATGGTTCCGTGATGTTGTTAGAGTTTCCGGAACCTGGGATTATGGTCAGGGGGAGAGGAAGTCAGACAGAAGTCGTGTGCCTCCGACCCTGACCCTGCTTGCAGGGTGCCGTCGAGGTCAGCATGTGTGAGTGCGACGGCTCCTTGTTTGCTCTGACGTTTGTTCACAGGTCATTGCTCTTGTATGGGTTTTTTGCTGGTGGATGCTGCCTGCCCAGGTGTGAGCTTGGTGAAGCCCCAAACCCTGCAGTATTCACTCGGGTGCGTCTTTGTTTCAGAAGCCGACCCTAAGCCCTAAACCCTAAACCCTAAACCCTAAGCCCTAAACCCTAAACCCTAAACCCTAAACCCCAATTCCTAAACCCTAAACCCCAAACCCTAAACCCTAAACCCGAGTTTGCCCAGGCTTCTACTGGGAGCAGGAATGTGTGAAATGCCACTATGGAGAGCGATTCGAAGCCGGGGTCTGCGCGGCTTGTCGTGTTTGGTTGTCTCTGGTGCATCAGCACTGAGCCCAGTAACCCTGAAAAGGCCCCAGTGAGCTGAACAGCTTCTGCGAACCCTCATAGACCCCCAAACCCTAAACCCTAAACCCTAAACCCTAAACCCCAAACCCCAAACCCGAAATCCCAAACCCTAAACGAACAAGCCAGAGGTGAGCTGCAACCGCAGCGTGATATGCGAGGAGGGCGTGATCGTCGGCAAGGCGCCGGAAGCCGAAACATGGAGCAAGACCATCAATGCAGCGGGATTCTCAGTAGTAGAGTAAGCAACCTTGAACCTTTTTGGGGTATTAGATTCCCTCTATAATTTGATAAAGGTTAACTCTTCGTCCCCAACAATGCTGGACAAGTAAGGACTACAGCGGACGCTGTCCCAGAGGATGACCATCGAGTTTTTGCTTGTCGCCTTGGGCATCGATCCCGACGCAAACAGGCAGAAGATGCACACGACCATCAGCCGCTATGGAGCCACTGTCCAAGACCTGATGGCTGGTAACAGCAGTAGAGAGATTCTGGCGGCTCCCACCGCGGACGTGCTCACCTACCTGCAGGCAGAGGTATTGCCAACTTTCACATCCTTGTCTTCTCTCCTCGAGGCGAACGTTGGCCTGCCTAGCGGCGCCTTCCTCAATGAGACTTAGCTGGGTATTTTTCAGAAGCACCCGAAGCCTGAAACCCTAATAGGGGTTTTCCCCCTAATCTACACCCAAATACTACAACTGAGGAAATAAGGCAGCAAACTGCGGCCTTGCTGGAAGTTTCCATGGCCGTGGTGGACTTCTTTGTGGAGGCTGGCGCGTTGCGGAATTGCCAGGAAGCCCCAAGCCTGAGTGCCCTAAACCCCGAAAGATCCGGACCTACAACCCTTATACAGCCCCAAACCCTAAAGACACCATGACGGATCATGATGGTTGACTTCTGTTTTTTGGGGTTCTCGGTGCCTTAAGAGATTTTAAACAAGGTGAATATATATATATATATATATATACATATATATATATATATATATCATAATTATTTTTACATGAGAAGTATTTTCCAAGACAATACTTTAAATGTATATATGTATATATGTATATATGTATATATATATAGATATTTATATGTATATGTATATGTACATGTACATGTACATGTACATGTACATGTATGTGTATGTGTATGTGTATGCGTATGTGTATGTGTATGTGTATGTGTATATACGTATATATATATATATGAATAAATATATACCTAAGAGATAAACAAATAATCGAACCCTTATCCAGGGTCCTTTTAGGGTCGCTCTTCTCGTCCCTGAACCTTGCCGACTGCATGAGAGCCCTCAACCCCAAAGCTGTCCAAAGCTCCTTCCAAACCCCGAAAGCAACTAAAACCAAAACGCCCCTAAGCACTCCAGAACGACAGCCCTTACGTCCTAAACCCTAAACCCTAAACCCTAAACCCTAAACCCTAAACCCTAAACCCTAAACCCTAAACCCTAAACCCTAAACCCTAAACCCTAAACCCTAAACCCTAAACCCTAAACCCTAAACCCTAAACCCTAAACCCTAAACCCTAAACCCTAAACCCTAAACCTAAACCCTAAACCCTAAACCCTAACCCTAAACCCTAAAAACCCTAAACCTAAACCCTAAACCCTAAACCCTAAACCCTAAACCCTAAACCCTAAACCCTAAACCCTAAACCCTAAACCCTAAACCCTAAACCCTAAACCCTAAAAACCCTAAACCCTAAACCCTAAACCCTAAACCCTAAACCCTACCCCTTACGCCCAGGCTGCAGCGGCCAGC